GGACAACTTAACACACAACTTCATATCTATCACTCAGATACCACAGTGAGGGGGAAGGGATTGCAAATCCATGAAATAATGAAGTTGCATTTTATCTCGTCAACATGAACAGTTTATTGATTAAGCATCAGAATGAGCATTTTGTGAGATGCATCTACCTTGAGATACCCTTGCTTTGCATCCTGATTTATGTCATAGTAAGAGTATACATGCTCGGATGAACCTTACATTAGCCAAGACCCACAGCAATGATGTGAGACTGTGACTAACATTGTGTCAATGTATTGATAAAATTTGTTCAATAGAAATGGCTATTTTGAGAAGAAACTCCCCTTCTACCTTTAATACACAAATGACTGTTGCATTGATAAAATAATCATGGTTTATGCAGAGTCCAGTCTTACATACAAATGTCATGCAAACACTACCATTGTTGCTCATATGATTATATAGGTATTATTTTATTTTTACATTACATCGTATGTATATCATCATATGTTCTATGTAATGACATATTACAAAGATTGGCTATACTTGTTGATAAGCATCTTTGATCGAAGAAGAGAAAGCTTTGCGTTGATACATTTTGGGAGGCTGTGATGTGTTAGCACAAGATCCACGTATTTTAGTGCCTTTGAAGAGTTGGAAAAAGTATTCAAAGTTTCTCCTAGTGGAACGTACAAGTATTCAAACGGAGACATGACAGCTATTTACACACCAGGAATTTTATGACAGTTATTGAAATTATTGATTTTTATGCAAATCCTAGATTCTCTGAGAATAAGCTAGCCAATGCTGCTCCAGACATCAGATAAGCTTTATTGACTGAAGAGAGTGAACATACATACAAATGGATTCTTCTTTTATGATAACTTGCAAGGTTAAAATGGTTATTTTTGAAATGAACATGATGGCTTTTGTGTTATTTTCAAAATAGATTTGCTCATAGCTGTGTTTAGAATTGTAAAAAGGTGCATTTCTATTTTATTGTCTAAAGATCTTCAAAAAGAAAATGCAATCTCTTGTCTAAAATATTTTGTCTAACTACTAAAAAAAAAACTGCATGTTTTTAATTGAGACAAAGAAAAACTGACACCTTTGCACTGGCAAATCTAAATAAAGCAATCACGGCAAAAAGTCTTTAAAAAACACAAATCACATTCTACAGTATAGTGATCAGGCTAATTGAGACTACTTTATTGATCTCTCACTGATGATGTGAACAACAAGAAAGCAAAATAGAGAGAGAATACTAATAATGATAATTAATTATAGGAAAAATATCTCAGGGTTTCCATTGATTGCAAAGTTTGAAGATATGGATTAGTACTAGTGCTATATTACGTATGTCTCTAGAACCCTGTATTATTTTCACGTTACACACTTCAGCATTCTGTATATTTTGTTAAACTTTTCTGGAATATGATTATTTAGAATTAGGGCTAGAGTTCGGATTGGGGTCAGGGTTCGAGTTAGGCTAGTGTTTATTTTAATCTTGGAGCAGTTTATTGACATTAACCCCATTAAGGACACATGACGGAAATATTCTGTCACAATTCCCTTTTATTCCAGAAGTTGTGTCCTTAAGGGGTTAATACACAATAGCCTCTTGTATTGATTACATAATCATGTTTAATGCAGAGTCTGGACTTAAAACACTAGACCCATGACAAATGTCATACAAACACTACCATTGTTGCTAATACAATTATTTTATTTTTATATTACATCTTGTGTATATCATCCTATGTTTACTGACATAGTAATATGAATGGCCATACTTGTTGATATGGATCTTTGATAGAAGAAGAGAAAGCTTTGCCTTGACAATTTTGGGAGGCAGTGAGGTGTTAGCACAAGATCCATGTATTTCAGTGCCACTGAAGAGTTGGAAAATCCAGAAGCACCCTTCATCTTTCCAACCTTGTGTTTAAGAGCTTTTCTGGAAAACTCCCACCCTACCAGAGCAGAATGGTCTCTCCCACCTCCTATAACCACCGATCTAGTACCAGCACTTTATTAAGTCTGCCTCAATACAAAAAGAAAGCAGTCCAATCCTCCTTTTCCTACAGAGCATCGCAATTATGGAATGACCGCCGGCACACTTTCAAATCTTCCCCAGGCCTAAAATCTTTTAAGAGTTCCCTCTCTGCATATCTCAAAACAGAATGCACCTGTCATAGTTGATTATATATTTCCTACATGTTCAATGTTAAATTTTGTATATATGGAGTGCAGAACCAGCACTGAGTGACATTAGCGCTAGAATCGGGTGAGTAAATAAATGTTTTTTTTAATACCTTTTCCTGCTACGTGGGGGGGAAGGGGTGAGGGGGGGGTGAGGGGGGGCAAGGGGGAGGGAGAAATGAGAGAAGGGGGAAGGCACTATACTAATAGGAATACAGACTTGTATTCCAGACACTTTAGAATCTCTTTAAATTAGTAACACAATATAAGAATGTATCAACCAGGATGTTGGTTTTAAAATGTTATGTCCTTCATATACATTGTGAAAAAATAATCCTTGACATTTTCACCTATTTCCTAAATTTAGTACACATGTATACCTGCTGTAATTCAAATGTTCTTTCATCCTTGAGTGCTTTGGTAGGTTGAGGGATGACTTGGTGACATATATAAAATGTATTTCTCCAAAGTAAATATCTTCCTCACCGGGCTAGATTTCTGTAACTCCCTCCTGGTTGGCCTTTCTCAACATTCTACCATGTTTCCCTGAAAGTAAGACCATGTCTTATATTAATTTTTCCCCAGAAAACACATTAGGGATTATTTTCAGGGTATGTCTTATTTCTTCAAAAAATGGTTCCAAGCATGCACTAGAAAACAGGTCTACAATTGGAGGAATTCCCCCAAACAAAGACCAGTTCAATAGTGCAGGGAATCCTGCAAATCTATGTTTGGGGAAACGTCCCAAACATAGATTAGTTTACTGGTGAATGGAATCATGAGAATCTATGCTCAGGGAAACTTTCCTGAACATAGATTAGCTTACTGGCAAATGGAATCTCGCAAATCTACGTTCAGGGAAAATTATCCGAACATAGATTAGCGAACTAGGACTTATATTACGTGCATCCCCCAAAAATAAGCTAGGGCTTATTTTCGGGGGATGTCTTATTTTCAGGGAAACTCCACTCTGGCAAATAAAAAATGCAGCTGCCCGCATCCTTCTCAACATGCCTCAATCTGCTCAAGTCATGCCCCTTCTTCAAAAACTCCATTGTCTTCCTCTTTGTCAACATTCTATTTTCACATTTCTTACTCTTGTATGCAAATCCATTCACAACCTCTCACTTGAATCTCACTATACCCATACTTGTTCACTCTGCTCCCACTATATTACTTCCCTTAAACAAACCCATACCTATGTGCTCTATCTCATTCTCACTTATTCCTACTACTGTAACAATCTTCCCACCTCACATGCACTCTTTCATCCTTCCCTAGTAGCAACTCCATAAGTTTTGTTGAGGAGAAATATATACCATTCTTCAAAGATGTTTCCTCTAAGTATACCAAACGATATTGCAAATTAGTGACTGTATCAAAATTTTACTATCAATTTGTTAATCGATGGAAATCACATTGGACAGGGGCACTACATAAGTTAAAGAAAGAAACAGAAGGACTGTTAGAAGCATAACATACTGTATTTCTGACCAGGACACATAACAATGTAAACATGCAAAGAAAGAAAAATGGAACAGAATTTAATTTTTCAATACTATGTACAGTAAAACAAAACAAAGCAGTCCATATATGGTAGGGAAGATTTGAAGAATGTCATTCCGAAAAAAAAAATAACCTAGTAATCAATTAAGAATTATACTTAACCCCTTAAGGACGCAGGATGGAAAATTTCCGTCCAATACGCAAATTAACCCCAGATTGCCGCAATTGTGGGGTTAATGTTCTTGCAGTGTGCCTCCGTGTCTAAGGCACACTGCTGTAGGCAGTTTCACTTTCACAGCCTATGTGATCACTCTGACTGGGAAAACCCGATCTGTCTCCCTGCAGCTCATTGTGAGCTGTGAAGTGCAGAGAGACAGATTGGTGGGAAATCCCACCCCTCCCTCACCTCTTTCAAATAAAATTGAACCCCTTCCCTGCTCTTTTATCACTGTCAGCAATGATCAAAATACAGATAACAATATTTCACTGTGATCTGAGTTTTTCTTTAAACCCAGGAGGGTTAACTTTTTTTTTTTTTTTTTTAATCCTTTGGGGTTACATTTATTTAGTTAGTTACTTAAATATTTGTAAAATATTTATTTATTTTGCTAGGGTGGGGAAATTGGGGGATTTACTGTTAGGCTAGTTAGGGGTTAACAGTAAAAAACTTTTAAAAAGTTAAAAAACTTTTAAAAAGTTAAAAAACTTTTAAAAAGTTTAAAACAGTAAAAAAGTTGTAAAAGCCAAAAAAAATTAAAAGTTCAAAAAAAGTCTTAAAAAGTAAAAAAAAAAAGGTAAACAATGTGTATTACCTCTACACTTGGTACTTGCTAGCAAAAAAATTATACCATGCTAAGATTTAAAATATGCCTTTTGAGAGGGGATGTGGCCAGAACTCGAGCATGATGGTTGCAGGCTGAGTGAGCTCCATCGGAATGGATCTAAATAAGCATTATAAAAAGCAAACACAAAGGCAAGCAGAGTTATCCCTAGAGATGTCTCAACACCGCTCGAAAAAAATGGTATTGCAGTGACTAAGCAGATCCTGCAGCACATGTTGGACAAAGTGGCAAAATGCAGTCCATGGTGAAAACTGCAATAGCGGATCTGAGAAAAGATATTGCCGAACTGGGAAACCGTGACTCTCACTTAGATAGCAAGATTGATGAGTTTGTCACAGCCCACAATTCTATAGTGGACAAAGTGGAGGAAATGGAGGGCAGGATGGAGCACTATGAAAATAAGTTTATGGATTTGGAGGCTTAGGCAAATCCCTGAGGAGATACAACAACTGGAGCTGCTCCATAATGCCTGACATACCTGTGGACATGCTGATCCTTGACAGGATTCACAGAGTGGCAAGACCTGCCCACCTGTCCCCCTCCACTCCAAGAGATGTCATTATGCGAGTATATTATTTTTACATCAAAGAACTGATCTTGAAGTCTCACCGAACAAAGAGAGATGTGGCGGAGAAGTTCAAAGATATCCTCATCTTTACGGATTTATCGGCGGAAACCCTGAGGAGAAGGCGAAATTACCAACCCATCACGGAGACCCTTAGCACAATATCCCATAATGCTGGGGGTACCCGGTAAAACTTCTAATCACCAACGGCAGCAAGATGCACATGGTGTCCTCCATTCCAGAGGGCACTGAACTTCTCCATGGGGCATGGGTCATAGCAGGGCAAGCTAGCAGTGCCAGGATCCAGAGAGAATGGAGAGCAGCCAAACTGAGGAGGAACATTTTGAGAGCCGAGCAGTGAGGGCTGAGAGAGACTTTCCCCCATGTATACTTGGGCTGAGTTTTGGACTTACAGGTTAAATGGCTATGGTTGGGGCAGCTGGGAGGGAGACAGGGACATGTCACCGCAGGTATGGGGTCTGGAAGCTGAGACAGGGGTGCGATTCACCCACTCCTGGGACAGACTCGCATGGGGTCTGACAGCTGGGACAGAGCGAGAGACCCACCAGAATGCTGGGGGAAACAGTACTCGCCGCACTCGCAGACGTGAGATGAAAGTTCTCAGATTCAGCCAAACCAGTTAACAAGAAGGGGACAGCTCTACACCTGTACTATAACTTGGGGAAATAAAGTAAAGTATTCTTTTCATGAACAAGTTAAACCCCCCCCCCCCCAAAAAAAAAACAACAAAGGGTAAAAAACAGAAGGGGTAGAAAGGCATGAGTTTGTAGGATTGGTTTCAAATGTTAATGTTGCATGGTTATCCTTCCCATTGGGGTGACTGACAGAACCCAGAGATAAAGTGACTCTTTCAAGGAGTATCTCGTGGCCTGGTGGTACTAGAGGCCCTCTGAGCACCATACAGAGGCTCCCTGTTCCTGGCCACCATTCCACTGGGTTGGAATCTCACTCATACACCCCGACAATACCCAGGTCCATGTGGATGTCCCAGACCCCTCACAACAGTTAACAGTGCTAGCAAATTAAGAGCCTCAACACTCTGAGTAGACTTGGTACAGGCTTAGTTTGGTTGGACCCGACCACCTACCCCCTACTCAAGAAGGTCAAACTACTACCTTCAAGACAAGTTAAATGAGCACTTCAATAGTAGTATTCGGTTATTGTTTCTGTTTAATGTTTTTAAAGATATGTTTTATAATGGGAGATCCTCTGATCGATGTTGTCTGCATTGTAACTCAATATAACCTGAAAGTGTCCTTTCTCCATTTCCCATCCTTCCTACTACACTTCCTTAGAGGTCGTGGACTAGGGCCTCTGGGCCGCCTCCCCCAGACGCACTCTCGTGACACACCACACATTCCTTTCCAATATGAAGGTCCACTGACCTCCTGGCACCAATTCTCACCAGGGTCAGCTATAAGCATCAGACCAGCAACTAACCCAAAAACCACATACAGTATGAAAATATACACACATAATGTTAGAGGGTTGAACACCCCGCAAAAACTGCACATTAGGAGTTTAAGGAGTTTACACATTATTCGAAGGTACTTAATACATACTCGAGAATATACGAGTATACATGCAGAGTGTACATCTAAATAGAGTGAAAGCAGACCACAACCCGGTAACACTTGCAATTGCAGACCATTAAAACTATAAAAATCGTAGTCCCTGGAGACTGAATGAGCAACTCTTAAACGACCACCACTTTCTCCAAACTCTACAAAATGACCTTCACGCATATTTTGAAGCCAATTACACCAACAACATATCCCCAATGACCCTATGGATGGCCCACAAACCGGTCATCTGAGGCCTACTCGTGCTCCAAGCTTCTCACCTTAAGAAACAACACCACACCACGCACATTCAGAACCTAAAAACACTGCAAGACTTGTAGCTAACCAACAAACACCTGCAAGACACAGAGCTAACCAACTCAATCCCTCAAAAACAATGCAAAACTTGATAACCGACTTGCAAATGCAAATCAACGTCACAAGTTTTCAAAAGACGAGCTATGCAATAAAAAAACTAAAAGCCACGACATTCGTGCTCGGGAACAAACAAGCCCAAACTAAAATTCCTTACCTACAATCCCCAACCGGCTAAAAAATTATTCAACTTACACATATTTGCAATGAATTTGTGAACTATTATGGTTCCCTTTACAACCTGAAAGATAATAAACAGGTCAACCAGCCAACACAAGCCACAATTACTGGGTACTTAAATAAGCTTAACTTACCTAAGCTTCAAGAACACCAAGTCACCCACCTCACAGGTCCTCTCACAACCCAAGAGGTAACACAGCTTAGAGACACCACACCCAAAGGGAAGGCACCAGGCCCGGACGGCCTTACAAATTTATATTACGCCACTTTTAAATCCACTCTGAGTACATTTGTGACACGAGCCTTCAATCTAGCTACCCATACGGGTACTCTACCATCTGAATTTCTAGCAGCCCATATCATCACCGTTCCCAAGCCCAGAAAAACACCAACATTATGCCCAAATTTCAGGCCTATTTTCTTGTTAAACACAGACACCAAAATCTACACAGAACGGCTTAAAACATTATTGGCCAGACTGGTTCCTACGGACCAGGTGCGTTCATGTCCGGCAGACAGGGCCCAGATAACTTGAGAAACATGTTAGATATCCTCCACTACCTCAGCCAATCCAAACTGATTAGCACACTGCTCTCACTTGAAGCTGAAAAAGCATTTGATCGACTCAACTGGCACTTTTTACACGAAGTGTTGACCCTATATGGCTTCCCACCTAACTTCTTAAATATGGTGAAAGACCTTTACAGCTCTCCTTCAGTTAAATTCGGGTTTTAGCTCAACCTTCTTCACAATCACTTACGGCACTCGGCAGGGCTATCCCCTCTCTCCATTGCTATATGTGTTAGTAATGGAACCATTAGCAATAGCTATCCGAAGTAATCAGGATATTAGGGCAATCACCATAGACGACAAGGAATATGCACTAAACCTATTCGCGGCTGGTATTCTCCTCCCACTCTCAAACACGACAATCTCACTCCTGAACCTACATACGGAAATACAGAAATACAATAGACAATCATGCTATCAGTTAAATCTGCCTAAAACCCAAGCCATGTGCAAACAGGCAGAAACAATGCTTATTACCACTACAAATGGTACAAGATAGCAAATAAATTATTTCAGGCTAAGGTTCAAAATATACCTTTTGAATTACCCTGGGATGTCTTCTTTAAGAAATAGTATGCCTTTATGGGCTAGTTGGAATATGTAGCCTGCTAAAAAAACCTCCAAAGTGGGGTATGGACACAGCGTAAAAGTTCAAAGTTTGAAAAAAAATGCAATGTGCACCTTTCATGTCCTCACATACCTGGCAAAGGTACATACGGGGGTATTGCTGTACTTAGACAACATAGCTGAGCAACATATGATGTACTATAAACCTGTAGCATACATAAGGTTTGCAAAATATACAGTACAAACTCACCGTGTGTATCACGTGATACAAGCTAGTGTAAAAATTATCCCACGCCAAGGTTCAAAATTTGCCTTTTAAAATACCCTCAGGTGTCTTCTTAAAGAAATATAATGCCATTTGGGGTAGTTTGAAAAACCAGCCTGCTAAAATATTTCAAAATACAATACGAACCCATCAAAACCATGTTTAGATCGCACATTGGGCATATTGTTTTACTCAGAAGATGACAGTGGCACTTATCAAATGTACGAAATACCTATCGAAAATGCAACATGTATGTAAAAAAAATGTAATTTCTTTTTCTCACCACAAATTTGAAATAAATTGGTGAAAAAATGGTGGAATGTTAAGGCATAATATATGCCTAATAAGATACACTGGAGTGTCTGCTTTCTCAAATGGAAGGCTTTTGTGTGGTTATTTGAACAGTCAAATGACTATAATGCCACAAAATCAGACATAGGACCATGTATGAAAATTCCAACTATAGAAACTGAAATAGCATGGTCTCCTATATGGCATTGTAGCTAAAGGTATACAATGGGGGTATCGTTGTACTCAGCAGATGTAGCTGAACACAATATGGGGTTCTGTACAGGGATAGCACACACCAACTTTACCAAAGACACATTATTATATGTATATATGCCAAAATAGAGAAAAGAACACAATTTTATTCCAATATTTAGCAGAGATTGGCAGTGAAATGGCTACGTAAAAAGTGTCAAAAGAACCTTAAGTAAATAGCCTGTAAATAGCCTGTGATGTCTACTTTGTATAAATATATACTTTAGTGTGGCAATTTTGTTTTCTGTGATGGGTATTAAACTTCCAACACAAACATACCACCAAATATTATTTTACATCTTGTAGTTTGTGACCTGTAACTTTCAAAATAAACTTAAATCCTACACATATTATGTACTCTGTAAATCAAGACACATACATTAATTGATTTTGAATTACTTTTCAAAAGCTGGACATATTATGCACACATTATTATTGCCAAAACTTGGGAAAAAATAAAAGAAATTTCCCCCTTTGTTTTGCTTTTTTTTTTGTAAGAAATGAGAATCTATATTTGTATATGTCACATCAAATTAAAGCCCCTTTTGACATCTAAAACCAGTATTTAATGTGTTGGTACAATAAATGAGAGAGATGCAAATTGTTGTAAACACAAAAAATGCAAAATTTGCTTGAGTATTAAGGGTATGTCCAGTTTCTGAAGCTGTGTCCTTAGGGGGTTAATTAATCTAATGTTATGTCTTGTTTGCCTTTGCTATTCTGTGATTTTCTTGCATTACTAACATTTTACTAAACTTCAGCTTTTGGGCACCCTGAATGCTGAAATTTTCAGGTATGCTTTTACAGTACAATCCAGAATCCATTGTCCTTCTAAAACGTTCTAGATTTTGATTCTGTAAGAAGTCCCATACATTGACACTCTCATTACCATTCTTTTATGGCATAAAATGAGATTATTTTGCTGGTAGGTGGTCCCAGTTATCACCAAATATCTAACATTCGTGTTTGTGTAAAAAATTATTGCTTTTGTTCAATATGTCCAAAATTAATTTTCTCTGTAACTGTCTGGCCTTTGCAAGTGGTCTTCAGAGAATGTGAGACAAGTAGCAATAATTATTTGCAGACCATTGGTTTCT